AAAAATTGATAATAAGAACAATCTTCACTGACATTCTCATTCAAAAGATAAAGCAAGAAACAGGACGAAAAAAAAAAAAAAATCGAGGAAGTGGATCATTTCACTTGACTGAATCCACCGAGAAAATAAAAAGTGACAGTAACAACCACAATCTCACGCCTAGGCCTACCTGACCAAAAAAAGGCCTGGGAACACACGGCTTGGGAAAGCAACGACGCCCACGCCACAGCAACCGGGCCCTCGAAACACCCTTTAAAGATATCCCCCGAACCCCTAAAACTTCCTCCCATAACCCCCCCCCAAACCCCTAAAACTTCCCCCCACAACCCCCCCTTCTGAAATACCCCCCCAAAAAACACTCCCGAGCGCCCCTAAACTATCCCCCCAACACCCCCAACCCCTCCCCCTTGCAACGCCCCGAGAACCTTGTGGAGAACCCCCTCCTAGGACCCCCCCTCCAGATGAAGAGGATGGAGAAGGGCGTGGAGTACCTGGACCAGTCGCAGCTGTACACGACACACTACATCCGCAACTCGAAGGCGATCGGGGTGCTGTGGGGCGTGTTCACCATCTGCTTCGCCATCATCAACATCGTGGTGTTCGTGCAGCCGCAGTGGATCGGAGACACGCTCGACTCCAAGAGGACAGGTGAGCCAGAGGGGGCCAGGGGAGCCAGAGGGGACAGGGGACAGGTGAGCCAGAGGGGGCCAGGGGACAGACAGGTGAGCCAGAGGGGCCAGGGGACAGACAGGTGAGCCAGATAGACAGACAGGTGAGCCAGAGGGGGCAGGGACAGACAGGTGAGCCAGAGGGGGTCAGGGACAGACAGGTGAGCCAGAGGGGGCCAGGTGAGCCAGAGGGAGGGGACAGACAGGTGAGCCAGAGGGGGCCAGGGGACAGACAGGTGTCAGGGGACAGACAGGTGAGCCAGAGGGGGGGGACAGGGAGCCAGACAGGTGAGCCAGAGTGAGCCAGAGGGGGCCGGGGGACAGACAGGTGAGCCAGAGGGGGCCAGGGCAGGTGAGCCAGAGGGGGCCAGGGGACAGGGTGAGCCAGAGTGAGTCAGGTTGAGTCAGAGGGGACTGGCTGACAAGGCTCATTAGGAAAGGGGTCAAGGACAGGTGAGGGAAGGAACTGGCTGATTACGGATTGGGGATTGCTTGCAAGTGGGATTGGATAGATGATTAAACTATGTAATGAAGACCACCGAGGACAGGCAATTAGGTAATTAAGGGTTATAACACGTAGCTGGCACAGGCACCGCTCTCGGCTTCAAAAGGACAGGTGAACAGGGGAACCAGTCGATCAGCCATTTCTCAAACAAGGTAGTTTTGATTATAGACAATTAAGCAGTTTATTCTAGGCGAACCTGAGGAGCTGAATTATTCCCACTAAACTAAGAGGATGTTTCAAATTTCTAATGCACAAGAATTAGGTAAAAATACAGAGATTCTGTGGAAAATTCGTTAACAAATTTGGTCAATGGTTATGTAAGATTTATCAACTTATTTGATTTTTCAAAATTTAGGTTTATTTTTTATAAAATTATTGTTTATTATCCGAATGACATGAAACTTGGTAGTGTAAATCGTAGTATGGGTATATATAACATACTAAAAAATCAAAAATAACGATTTTGGGAAAAAAGTGGACGCCCCCCTTAAGGGAACTGACCGAAATGTGAGCTTAGGTGAACGACAGAATGAGATCAAGTATTCGTGAATATGCACGTAGTGATTAAAAACAGGCGAGTCCAATTTTGGGGAAAGCATTAGGTATGTAGATTATTCTTGCAATAACGAGGATGATAACCATGCTAGTGCTGATAGGATAATTATGGTGATAAGGGTGTTCTTAATGATTGTTATTAATGGTGATAACAGTGATTGGTAGTTCATTATATTGTATTGATGAGGATGATAACAGCAGAGGCAATGGTGTCACTATCACTATTATTAAAACCGCTGCCGCTGATACTTTTAATGGAAATGGCTTGCGCTGAACATATGCTTCCGATTGGAAAGAAAAGAAAGATGAACAAATCTTAGGTGACTTGTATTTGAACATGTCACTTTAACACCCAATCTGTGACACCTTCATTAATCATAAGATACTAACACTGACAAAGACAGTTCACTATAATCTTAAACTATAATCTTAAACTATAATCTTAAAGACTACATTAAACTATAATCTTAAGACTATAATCTTAAACCATAAACTGAATAAACACTATAATTACTTTTGATGACTTTGTGTTCAGTGGAAAACGCAATTTATGTAAACGATGAAATTATATCTATTCATTGATATATTAGAACCGTGAATATCTACAATACTTTTCAAGCTAAAGAGTTACTGGAAGTCCACACACACGCACACATACATATTTGTATACATGAATGAAAGAGTGAATGAATGGATGAGTGAATGTAAAATTTATTTATTTATTTATTTTTTTTCATTTGTGCATGGCTGTGTGTGTGCTTGTGAGAGTGCGTGTGCGTATACATATGTATGTACGTATGCGTATTTGTGTGTTGTTGATGAGATTCAATACACTGTTGTTATCAATGTTGCTGCAATTATTTTGGATAATTATCATTTAATAGTTGGGGAATAAGTGTGCATATCATTAGTAATTAAAGTGCAATTATTTTTCCGGTTGAAGGACAAGCTGAAATGACATAAGTTGTTTTTATTTCCAAGTGTTGCTTTTGTTGTTTATTTCCAAGTGTTGCTTTTGTTGTTGTTTATTTCCAAGTGTTGCTTTTGTTGTTGTTTATTTCCAAGTGTTGCTTTTGTTGTTTATTTCCAAGTGTTGCTTTTGTTGTTTATTTCCAAGTGTTGCTTTTGTTGTTGTTTATTTCCAAGTGTTGCTTTTGTTGTTGTTTATTTCCAAGTGTTGCTTTTGTTGTTGTTTATTTCCAAGTGTTGCTTTTGTTGTTGTTTATTTCCAAGTATTTCCAAGTGTTGCTTTTGTGTTGTTTATTTCCAAGTGTTGCTTTTTGTTGTTGTTTATTTCCAAGTGTTGCTTTTGTTGTTTATTTCCAAGTGTTGCTTTTGTTGTTTATTTTGTTGCTTTGTTTGTTTATTTCCAAGTGTTGCTTTTGTTGTTGTTGTGTTGCTTTTGTTGTTTATTTCCAAGTGTTGCTTTTGTTGTTGTTTATTTCAAGTGTTTATTTTGTGTTGCTTTTGTTGTTGTTTATTTCAAGTGTTGCTTTTGTTGTTTATTTCCAAGTGTTGCTTTTGTTCCAAGTGTTGCTTTTGTTGTTGTTTATTTCCAAGTGTTTGCTTTTGTTGTTGTTTATTTCCAAGTGTTGCTTTTGTTGTTGTTATTTCCAAGTGTTGCTTTTGTTGTTGTTTATTGTGTTGCTTTTTGTGTTGTTTATTTCCAAGTGTTGCTTTTGTTGTTGTTTATTTCCAAGTGTTGCTTTTGTTGTTGTTTATTTCCAAGTGTTGCTTTTGTTGTTGTTTATTTCCAAGTGTTGCTTTTGTTTGTTTATTTCCAAGTGTTGCTTTTGTTGTTTATTTCCAAGTGTTATTTCCAAGTGTTGCTTTTTGTTGTTGTTTATTTCCAAGTGTTGCTTTTGTTGTTGTTTATTTCCAAGTGTTGCTTTTTGTTGTTGTTTATTTCCAAGTGTTGCTTTTGTTGTTTATTTCCAAGTGTTGCTTTTGTTGTTTGTTTATTTCCAAGTGTTGCTTTTGTTGTTGTTTATTTCAAGTGTTGCTTTGTTGTTGTTTATTTCCAAGTGTTGCTTTTTGTTGTTTATTTCCAAGTGTTGCTTTTGTTGTTTTATTTCCAAGTGTTTTATTTCCAAGTTTGCTTTTGTTGTTTTTTTCCAAGTGTTGCTTTTTGTTGTTATTTCCAAGTGCTTTATTTCCAAGTGTTGCTTTTGTTTTATTTCCAAGTGTTGCTTTTGTTGTTGTTTATTTCCAAGTGTTGCTTTTGTTGTTTGTTTATTTCCAAGTGTTGCTTTTGTTGTTTATTTCCAAGTGTTGCTTTTGTTGTTTATTTCCAAGTGTTGCTTTTGTTGTTGTTTATTTCCAAGTGTTGCTTTTGTTGTTGTTTTCTATTTCCAAGTGTTGCTTTTGTTGTTGTTTATTTCCAAGTGTTGCTTTTGTTGTTTATTTCCAAGTGTTGCTTTTGTTGTTGTTTATTTCCAAGTGTTGCTTTTTGTTGTTTATGTTTGGTTGTTGTTTATTTCCAAGTGTTGCTTTTGTTGTTGTTTATTTCCAAGTGTTATTTCCAAGTGTTGCTTTTGTTTGTTGTTTATTTCCAAGTGTTGCTTTTGTTGTTGTGTTGCTTTGTTGTTGTTTATTTCAAGTGTTGCTTTTGTTGTTGTTTATTTCCAAGTGTTGCTTTTGTTGTTGTTTATTTCCAAGTGTTGCTTTTGTTGTTGTTTATTTCCAAGTGTTGCTTTTGTTGTTGCCAAGTGTTGCTTTTGTTGTTGTTTATTTCCAAGTGTTGCTTTTGTTGTTGTTTATTTCCAAGTGTTGCTTTTTGTTGTGTTGCTTTTGTTTGTTTATTTCCAAGTGTTGCTTTTGTTGTTGTTTATTTCCAAGTGTTGCTTTTGTTGTTTATTTCCAAGTGTTGCTTTTGTTGTTTTTTCCAAGTGTTGCTTTTGTTGTTGTTTATTTTCCAAGTGTTGCTTTTGTTGTTGTTTATTTCCAAGTGTTGCTTTTTGTTGTTTATTTCCAAGTGTTGCTTTTGTTGTTGTTTATTTCCAAGTGTTGCTTTTGTTGTTTATTTCCAAGTGTTGCTTTTTGTTGTTTGTTTATTTCCAAGTGTTGCTTTTGTGTTGTTGTGTTGCTTTTGTTGTTGTTTATTTCCAAGTGTTGCTTTTGTTGTTGTTTATCCAAGTGTTGCTTTTGTTGTTGTTTATTTCCAAGTGTTTGCTTTTGTTGTTGTTTATTTCCAAGTGTTGCTTTTTGTTGTTTATTTCCAAGTGTTGCTTTTTGTTGTTTATTTTGTTGCTTTTGTTGTTGTGTTGCTTTTG